TCCGTAAAGTGACGTTGTAATAGATAGTTCCTTTTCTGCTGCTCGCGATACTAGATTTTCGAATTGACTGTAAAAAACGTATTTGTAAATTATTGCGCTTGAGGAACCATCAAACTAGATACGCGAAATGGAACGTGAAATTTATTTTGTGGAATATTTTGTGGATTCGGTTTTCTGTATATAGGGTGTGTCAAAAATCTCTTCCTACCAAAATAAATCCGTAATTTTTTTTATTATTTTTTTGTTAAATCTCTTTTTTACAGATTAAAGTACACGATGAAAAAAAATCATGAGCTTGAGCTTAAATTTTATTTTTTCTTGCAATCAAACATTTGGCCCACCCTATATATCGAAGATGTGTATCGTTCTCAATTTCCAATAAACGTAACGTCGATGTATTACGTAAATGATTATTTCGTTTTATCTAACGCCTACGGATGTTCTACTAAAATCCCAGTATCGTTATTTTCCCTTTCTCTTCATCGTTTCGGTATCGAAAGAATCCAATCGTTTACCTTATCGTTCTCGTATATACGTTACACCGCGAAACGTGTATCGAAAAATCTAAAAGTTCAAATGGTTTTTCCAGGCCTTTGTTCTACAAAACTCTGTTCTTTTTTGTTCTGAGTATCGAAGTAAGGCGATGCGTAAGAAGCATGACTGCTTTTGAAAATAAATTTCATTGCCGACAAGCGTCGTGAGTTGCTACTGTGATTCACTCACGCGACTTGGAAACGCGTGCGCGGCATCGCAACTTCGTAGAACTTGCTCGCCACGCGATTTAATTTTTAAGAGTGAACCGTACGCTTTGGGGCAGGCGTGTCCAACCCGCGGACCCTGTTTCTGCAGTTCGCGCTCTGTAATCAAAATTGGAATAACTGAATAAAAATTTTTATTATTTGAATAATTCTGAATGTGCATAATGTCCCTTTTGGGTAGTGAATTATACAAAAAATTAAATAAGAAGAAAAATTTGCATCTTGAAAATACTCCTTGTATTGCCGCTATCTGTATCAAACCAGATATTGATGAAAATGGTATCTAACAGAAAAAGTAAACTCAGTTTGTTATATTTGTTATATTTGTTATATTTTCTCAGTTTTAAGTATATTTAAATTTATTATTAATAAATTTATTACTTCTTAATAATTTCTGTCCAGTGATATATCGACGAGTTCAAAAAGAAAGCGACGAATTATTTTATACGGTTTG